AAAAAAAAAAAAAAATGGCTAGACTAATTTTTTAAAGTCAAGATTTGTTGACGCAGTTATAAAAGCATTCGGTGGATACATAGATGGAAAGATAATATAATTTTTATCGTAACTGACGAGAAATTTAATGAATTATTGGTAAAATATATTCTCGAACACGTAACAAAATAGAATACATAAAATTTAGTGAAATTCAATAATCAGTTCGTAATCACTTTACGTATTTATTACGATTAAACAAGTATCCTAATATTCAGGCGGCAGTGTACGTTCGCTTTCTTTTTAAACACGCACACACACTCTTATATAACTGCGTTAATGTCTTTTGACCATCGATACTTAAAATCTGTTAATAGATCTAGTTCCAATTGTTTCCTGCCTAAAAGAGAGCAGAAATCGTCAGTCCTCTGATCATTAACGACAATATTAAGTTGCACTTCTTTTCTGTATTCACTACACTGAATGATACATGTTTTTTGTGAAAAACTTGAACTTATTTTTACGATACTGATTTATACATTTATATAATGTAAAAATGAGCTTAAGTTTTTACACGAATAAAAAACATGTAGCATTTAGTACAGTCAAGATAGAAAAAAAAGTGCAACTTAACTGTCGTTACGACCAGGGGACCGACAACTTAGGCACGAAATAATTAGAATTTGATTTTTGTGAAACCTGAGTTCGTTAAAACATTATGTTCCTTGATTCTTCAGTTTTCGTTTGCGACAATATATTTAATGGTACGTTATCCTCGCCACCGGCTAAAATTCGAACATCTCTATCTGGGTCTAATCTCATTTCAGTAAGTCTCTTCTCCACTTCTTCTGTTTCCTTAACTCCCAACCATTCTGCTAAAAATTAGAGCACGTATTTTTTGAGTATATCTGAAGTTTTCGTAATGTAACTGTCTGAGAAAAAGATTACGAATAAATACTTACACCCCATAGGTACAACGTTCTCCGACAAAGTCCTTGCTACAACTAGTCTCACGTTTGGTACTTTGTCAGAAGAGATTTCTAACAAGGTAGGTAACATCTCTTGCGAAAACCTGTCTCCGCTGATGGCGTTGTTTGAAATTATTTTAGCGCACAGGGAGGCAAACGTCTGTCTTCTGATCCATTTTTTTGCGTATACGAGGGACTTGAGCTTTCGAAACAGCGCTTTCACCAGGCGTTTGTTGTCTGAAAGATGCGCTACTATTTGCGTCATCTACATGGACGCCGAAGCAGAGATACAAAACGAATATTAGTAACGTTTTTAAAAAGCGGACAATTCAAGCGGGTAGGTAGAAAATAAATAAAATCGTACCAAAGAGAGTGCAACGTGTCTCACAGCGGCGACCTTGTCGCGCAATAGCTCGAGAGCCAACGGGACGATATACCGATCAACGTTCACAGGATCGAACAGATTTACAATTTCCAACAACTGAGTGGCCAGCTCCTCTCGAAATCTCCAGTTCCATTCGTTATCGGTGGCGAGGAATTCTTTCAGGCTTGGTAGGTACTGGACCCGAACGGCAGGCTTGAGTATTTTCAAAAACGTCGCTAAATGCTTGAGCATACCTATTCTAACTTCGTCCAGGTCTTTGATGAATCCATCATAGATTGGGATTAGATCGCTGACAGTCAATTCTTCCCCGAGTATGATAGCGATCTCGTGAATGCTGGAGGCTACCGTACGCCTCACTTTCCACTGTTTCGCGTTCGCCAGGGACTGGTAAGCATGCTTTAGGTATTTCCAATTATCTTTCCCCAAGGTAAGTACAACCGCGGGAAAACTAAATGCACAATGGTGAGGGATATCCGGGCCCATGTCGCCAAAACACTGGTCCGGCTCGGCCATCGTCAGGAACGAATCGATCAGATGCTGAGGCACGATCTCTTGATCGCCCAGATCGACAAGCTCTTCGAGTTTGTCCGCTGGGTATTTATCTTCTTCTAGTACGTCATCCAACAACGACGCTTTAGTAGACGCGGTTGTAACAGTGGCCAACGGTTTCCAATCAACGTTGTTCTGCGCGGCGGATCTTTTGGCAGCTTCGACGAGTTCGTCATCCAGTGGAAGGGTAGGCTCTATGTAGTAATATAGGAACGAATTGAAGTTTTCTGCGTCGTCTAACGTTTGATCGTTCTTCTGATGCTTCCTCTGTATCTGAAAGAAATTCACGAGATCACTCTCGTCTCTCGTCTCTCGTCTCTCTCTCTCTCTCTCTCTCTCTCTCTCTCTCTCTCTTTGGAGTCGGGGGACGAATAAGAGGAAACAATCTCGAGACGTTTTACGAATATTCAATCCCGTTCATGACCCGTTACCCGTCATAACCGGCGAATGAAATAGAATTACGCTAATGGCTATTTTCAAGGAAATAGAACGGCAAATGAGTTCGCAAACCGGTCGGGTTTCGTTACTTACGGACGCGTCGTACCTTCGACTTATAAGCTCTCATTGTGGAAATATGGTCTTCCTGAAACTCGTCCTCCTCGTCGTCCTCCTCTTCGAGAATTGGTTTTTGCGTTATCACAGATGAATTCGAGTTATCTTTAGAATTATGATCTTCCGCGTCGAGTGTGTGACTTCGTACCGCACACTTCATCGGGAATATTCCTTCGTACAAATACCTTATACTGTAAAAACATATCATCGATCGATCTACGTCGTTGTTTCTTTTTTTTTTTTTTTTTTTTTTTCGGTTGAACGAAGGAACAAATACAAACAAGAAGAACAGAGGTAAAACGGAAATTACAATGCGAGTATCTTGAACGAGCGTAAAAGATTTTCAGCTTTTTATACCTGAAACGATTATCCTGTTGACTGGTGAACACTAGTTCGCCCTGTTGATTATAAGTAACTCCGGTAAATTGTTTCGCAAACGTAGAAATAAATGGTCCTAAAATTTGAAAGGCAGACATTCGCACCAATTTCGATTCGTCGTTCAAATGCGTGGCCAAAAGATCCGCCAGCAGTAATCGACGATGCTCGAGGGTCATACAGCACGAGACAGGCATCATAACGTCCACGCACGCTTTTCTGATGCTCCATGTTTCGTCGCAGCACAAATCGACGAATATCGGAAACTGCAATGTGATCAGAAAAATATTAAGAAAGGAACTTCCATTTATTTTCGTCAAGCGAAAACGTTCAACAGCGAGCGTACGTAGGTCTCGGCGATTTTTATGCCATTGGAAAGAGTAAAATTCAAAATTTTCCCTACAATTTCTAAAACAGAAGATCACGAAATTTAAACGAGAACAGTTGTACAGTTCTAGGGAAATTCACGAAAGGAACTTACCAATTTTCGGAAAAGAGTTTTTCTGCGGACAGCGGCGCACAGTTCACCAAAGTGCGACGCGCAAACCTTCCTCATGAAGAATTCGTCGTCCTCGCAGAGAGCGATGAATTTGTCCAGAAAGATCCGTTCCGTCATCTCTTTACCGATAAGCGGTGCCATCTTGCACATGAGCTGCGGATCGACACAATGTACACGATATATTCCTTACGAATTTGTGGATTTTCGATGGTAAAACAAACGACAGAGATCGGTAACAAAGAAAATTAGACGTAACAATATATACGCACAAATATATACGAAATATCTTGCGTACGCACATATATGTATGTTGCTTCTGCATATACCTACATATGGTTTCACTTAATTCAAAAGAGAAGATCAAATGAAATAAAATAGTATTAACTTGGTTATTGGATGGTATCGCTTAAGACTACAGTGAACGAAGACATAAATCGCACCGTTCCGCTCATCAAAGCTGGCTGTGATACGAGTCCAAGTCACCACATCACAACCACTCTGATAGGAGGAACAGTCGAATTTGCGCCTCTTAAATGCCTGGAAAAAGAGAAACAACAGGTACAACGAATTTTCGTTCGTCAGATGAGTAAGTACACACACACACACACACACACACACACATATATATATATATATAGAGGATCAAACGAGTTCAGAACAATCGAGATCGATCGTTTCGCGACGATTCTCGAGTACCTTCTTTCGGCGCCCGCATCTGCACGAATCAGAAGGTCATTGTGCGACGATCAAACGAATTAGAAAGAGGTGAATCACCCTATCGTCGTTCAACGATCGTAAACATTACTGTACGCAACACTGCTTTTCTGTCTTACTTTATACTTCTCAAGTTTTTATATTACCAAGTATTTGTAGGGGTATATTAAGTTCTTGATCGCGTGAATACATGTACATGTACTATGTACTTTAGAAGATGTATCAATCAACGCATGTATCAATCATGCAAAAATATATAAAATATCCAAATATCCAAAGCGGGACATTTATAATATTTAATAGACAAAGCAAAGTAGCTTCACGTACGTAGCATAAAAATCCTAATTATCTAATTATCTTACGAAATAATATCAAATTCTATTATCCTTCGTTTGAATTTCATCTTGTACCGCTTTTTAATTAGGTATTTTATAATTACATTCAACTGAAAGACAATGAAAGAAACGAATTAAAGTCTGGAGCAATCATCACGCATAAGGAAGTCATCTCAGGATCGTCGTTCGATAAAAGCGATCACGTCCTTCGTCACGATCCTGTGAATCCATGAGAAGAAGTCGACTATGAAACAGTGCACGGTCTTTCCCGAAAGTGGAAACTGCGCCGGAGAAGTCGGCCTCCGTATCGGGACTGTCGGTCGGAAATGTTTTTCTTAAAAATGGCTTGCGATGGGGAAGAACGCTGCGTTTCGCGGGAAAACGATCGAGAATGGATCTTCGTGGCGAGCGTAAAGGCTTCGCTCGATTTACAGATAAACCGGGTTTTCTCTTTCTGATACAACAGGAAGAAAAATTAAAAGACATCGAGATCTACGCACGAAGATCTGTACCAATCTGTAATGATCTTACATTTCAAATCTCGATGAACCGGGGAAAAAGAAAAAAGAAAAACAGTTGATCAAACGCGATGCCACGCTCATCAAAGCTGGCTGTGATATGAACACTTGCATCAGCATATCACAACCACTTTGTGAGCGATGCACCCGCGCCATTTTTTACGGATGTTTCCTAAAAACAGTGAGCGAGCAAGATTGACAACGATTAATTTCCTTCGCGTCTCTGAACAGAAACTCGCTAACATCGTCGGATTGCTTCGAATAGGTTGTCCTCTGACAAGACACGTTGCAAAAAACGGCGATCCAAATCGTCAAAAATGGCTGTGATATGAAATCTAGAAAAGCAACACGCCACAACCAATTTGACGATTGGATCGCGTTGCTTCTCTCGTTCTTCGTGGTTTGTCTGTCTCCTTGGTCTTCCCACGATGATCGTGCGGGGAAAGAACCCGACCGCTGCTATCGGTCTCGATCGTTGCGTGCCTCGCAAATAAGAATGAAAATATGAATCTTAAAGACGTATTCGCTGTATGTTGAGACGTATTCGTCGGACACGGACGTGGATGATTATTCGTTAAGCGGAGTACACTAAGTACACTCGTACAGCGCACACGACGAACATGCTCTCCCTTGACGATCGATTCTGCGGGCCAAGCTCATCAAAATGGCTGTGATATGATTCGAAACATTCCACAACTAAATTGATGTATCGGACCGCAAAAGGTATTTTCATT